GTTATTGTATTATAACAGTTTGTTCTGTCGACTATCAAAAAAGAAATAGCTTAAAGGGGCTAATAATTTTGTCCCTAAAATGGTGTTTAAAAATTCGAAAACTTATTTTATTGTAGCCAAAATAAAACAAATAAGACTTTCTCCAGAAGAAAAAATATTGTCAGACATACTGTGGAAATTTCCTTGCTCTGTTAAACATCATTTGGGAAATATTTAAAAAAGAAGAAAAAAATTTGAAGGGGGCTAATAATTCGGACTTCAACTGTATATGCCTTTTACAAGATGCCCCCAGAATGTGCCTGTAAACTTTCAGCTCAAAATACCTCATGCATAATCAGTTCCACTATGTTACCACTGAAAAACCTGGTTTTACATGTGTCACTTTAAATGCAAATAAGCTGCTGCCCCACCCATCTTTTGCTGAAAAGGGCGGAGCCTCAGATACACAGGCAACATCAAACTACTTTACTGCATGTGTTTTGTAGTCTTGTCAATTTAAACTCTTGATATACTGAAAATAGACAATACTTGTAACTTTACAGATATTCTTCATGGTTAAACAGTAACATTACTCACTGATTTAAGCGGAACATGTTAAAATAGGTTTACTAGTCCCACCAGAGTTAAAAAGTGGAATTTTAACCATTTTGTATGTATTTAGCCAATCTCTGGGTCTGGCAGAATCACTTTTAGCTTAGCTTAGCATAAATCATTTAAGCATCTCACTCGAATTTCAAAAAGGAGTTTTGATCATTTTCTTATTTAGAGCTTGACTCTTCTGTAGGCACATTGAAAACAGAAAAATCAAAGGTGATTCCTTGGATTTACAAAACTTTTAAGCGGTTGTAAACAATTTATTTGGGCTGAATTTAAACAAAGATGTGTGAGAGATGTACCTGAGTAGTAGCCTGTACACGCGAGACGTGCCTGAAGAGCAGTGGTTGTGAGTTGCGCGTAACGTACCTGAAGGGCAGTGGGGGTGAGTTGTGAGTGACATACCAGAAGAGCGGTGGGGGTAAGTTGCGCGCGACATACCTGAAGAGCTAGGAAGGATGAAGTGGGGAGGGGTGTGCAATGTATGTAAGGACCGGGCGGGAGACGCGTGATTTCCAGTAGATTATCATTCATCCGGGATACTCCCGCAACTTCCGGGAGACTTGGGGTGTCTGCTTTTTCTTGTGTAATTATCAAGTAACTTTGCTGAATGGTTTTAATATGAAAATTAAAACTCTTGAAATTGAGCGAGATGCCAATGGTCTAATCCGACTCAATGATTTATGCTAAGCTAAACTAAAAGTGCTTCTGCTAGACTGAGAATAAGATTGAGATTGGTTCAATTGATTATTAAATGGTAAAACTTAACTGTTTAACTCTAGGGAAGTAAATGTTAAAATAAAATGAGCCTATCCCCTACCCCCCCACCCCCACCCCACAAAAAAGCATGTTCCTTTAATCCATTTTCTGCTTGATTTATTGTTGAAAATCTTGGTTAAACACACGGAAGCAACACGCCTTTCATTTTAACCCGAAATTGTTTGCCAGCAAGTTTAGTTTGAACCACATGTGAAAAAATATGAAAAGTTCACAACACGCTATTGCTTTTTGCCAAATTCGTCTGGCAAAAAAAGAACAGGAAGGTAACATCCAGATGCACCATTTAACCTTCACCCTGACGTGACCGAGCCAAAAGACGGTGACGTGAAGAATGCAGTCTGTGGACCTTGAGCAATTTCCTGCGCAACATCTCGACTCCCTTTTATCGATATCAAGACAGGCTGTGTGGCAAAGAAAACACCCGTCAAAGTGAATTACCACAACAGCTTGGACACCTCTGTCCACACACAATCATGCACACTTTATGGCACATATGTGGGCCGCTCTGGGCCTCTCGTCCCACTGGAGTAGCAGGAGTGCAGCTGTCAAGGAGCGTGTTTGGGGTTAATTGGGTTTAATTGGGAGGGTTGTTTTGGTCTCTGTAACTACCAATGAGGAGGGGGCTTTACTGAGGTGTGGACGTGTCTGTGTGTGTTTGTGTGATTATGTGAATGACGCTGATATTTGGAATTTGAGCATGCCATAACCATTTCAGCGCATGGTTTGGATGTTTATTTTACACATGCAGTGAACCTGATCAAACGAGTTTCAACCTCAATCACAGTTAAAAATTAGGCCTTGTTGCCAAATATATGGTTAACCCTTTTAGGTCTCTCATTAAATGACTCTCATTAAAAATGCTAGAGTGTTACTGGGGTTAAGACTTTTGAAGTTCTATGATTAAAGAGAATATATATATTTTTAATTTTATTTTAAACAATGTCAGGGCAGCACGGTGGCTCAATGGTTAGCACTGTCTCCTCACAGCAAGAAGGCTGCTGTTTCAAGTCCCTGCTGGGCCAGTTGGCATTTCTGTGTGGAGTTTGCATGTTCTCCCCATTTTTGTGTGGGTTTCCTCCGGGTGCTCTGGTTTACCCCACAGTCCAAAGACATGCGCTATACTGTAGGTTAATTATATGAGCTAATTTGGCCGTAGTGTAAGAAAGTATGTGAATGTGAGAGTGGATGGGTGTTTCCCAGTACTAGGTTGCGGCTGAAAGACCATTTGCTGCATAAAAGATATGCTGGAATAGTTGATGACCGCTGTGGCGACCCCTGATAAATCAGATACTATAGCTGAAGGAAAATAAAAAAAATTATTGTAAATTTTAAAAACTGAGTGTAGGTAAACAATGTGCAAATGCCCCCTAAGAAAATTTTTAAAAATAATTTTCCATAACCTACTGTAATGTAAATGGGACGCTAACAACTGAGATGCAGAGGTTTATTAACAGAATAGTCAGGCATTGGTCAACAGGGTCAAACAGATGTATATAGGCAATCCAGAGTCGTAGTCATTAAACAGGCGAATGGTCAGTACAGGCAGCAAGAAACGTAAACAAACAAACAAGGCGAGGGTCAAAACAGGGCAAAGCAAGGCAAGGGAAACGCCTTGTAATGTTCACAGTAACAGTAAAACAAGACTCAGCAAAGATGTGTGTGTGCGTGTGTGTGTGTGCGCGTGTGTGTGTGTGCCCGCTGCATTTAAAGTCTATGTAATCAGTCCTTGACAATCCTCCGACTGTGAGCGTGTACAATCAGCAGAATCTGGAAAAGGTGCGTGTGAGCGGTGCATGACTGGATCTGTACTCCATATAATGGTGGATTTTTTAGTGTTCACCAGAGATCTACAAGGATTATAATTGCTGATGATTGTGACACCTACTTAACCTTGACTTAAATTTTTAATTTTAGCCTCGCTTATGGCGATCGTTGGTCTCTTTGTCTACAAATTCCAGGTCAGCTGTCTCTACTGTTGTTCACGGAATATAACCATCTGATGTCATGCAGTGCACACCAAAAATAGTCCCCTATCATAATTCAAAATATACATGAAATGATGTTAATATTAAAAAAAAAAAAAGGAAATCTGTCATAGATTTTCTACTACACATTTTAGTATGAGACATCATTTATGCTATTTTGAGCCACACAAGTCTTAAAACTCTGGGTTACTATTAACGTCCATTGAAACTTTCCATCCTCAAAATCAGGGGTGCTCAAACGTTTTCTTATGAAGGGCCAAAAACCAAACTTGATCGAGGCTAGAGGACCAAAGGTAAACCTAGTTACCATGGGTAATTTCCTAATTTATTTAATGATGTTTAAAATTACTATAAATCATTGCTTTATATTAACTAATACAGTATTTTTATATATTTTATAATGAAGATTATATTACAGTTAAAACAAAACAATGTAATTTGTAACAAAATTACACTAATTTTGCTTTGATTTGCTTACAGATGTCTTCTGCATAGTTCTCTATCTGTCGAGTGAAAGTATTTACATTTTCAAAAAAATCTGCTTCATTTACAATATTTAATTTAAACAATAAAACAGCAATAAAACAACCAAAAAAGGTTACATCAAATAAGAGTTGAAAATCTTAAAGGCATTCGCCCCAACCATCTTCATCATTATCACTCTCCTCACAGATGAGATGGTGGGCCAAATCAAAGGTTACAATGGGCCAACTTTGGCCCCTCGGCCCTACTTTGGTCACCTCTGCTTAAAATGTTCTATATAATAAAAAACACTATAGAATTATGAACAGCTACTCACTGTAGGTTTCTTGGGAAAATGGATATTTAAAGTCATTGCTCTTTTTGAAAAAAAAAAAAATAAATAAAAATAAGAGACTGTGCATATATGAAGTATGCTTCACAATGGTGAGTGGACTTGACAAACTACTTGTAGAAGCACAATCTCTCTCTTTCTCATAATAAAAAAACCTTCTCCCTCCTTACTTCACACTTTTAAAAATGAAAACAATTTGCAAACAAATTATATGGGCTGAATTTAAGCAAACAAATTAAATTTAAAGAAATGTTCAACTTCATTTCTTTGTTTAAAATCTGTCCCAATAAATTGTTTACTTATTGTACTTATTCTAACTTAATGTAAAAAAAAAAAAGAGTAAATCCAAGGAATCATTTTTGAATTATTTGAATTATCCTTAATTCTCAAAGTTTCCTTTGTATAATTAGCACTTCTTGTGTGTATTGCCTTCTTGTTGAATCGGTGAATGCCTCCTCAATTGTAAGCAGCCTTGGTCAAAAGTGTCTGCTAAATGACTGTAATGTCTATAATGTAAAGGTTTTTGGAATCTTAAAGTGTAGCTTGTTTTTGATAAGCACACAGGGAAACGTCTAACTGAAATCGTCATTTGTGTGTTTTGAGCAACTGAAACGTAAAAATACCAAATTAATAGTTAACTTTTCACCAGTTATTTAACTTTTTATGAGAATGAATATGCTATTTTGATTGCCTTTAAAGTGAAATAACTGATCATAAACATAAGAGGCTGAGAAAAATGCTTATTTTAAAAGAGAATTTTAGATAAAATTGAGATACTTTTGCATCTTAACTCTTCAAATGTTCTCAAACCTTTGTTTTTCTTGCAGAATTGAGATCGAGAAACGGCTCTGCAGTGTTCTGGGATGGTGGGGAAGGGGGAGCGTATCAGGCCCTGCTGCTGGATGAGGATCGCGGATGGCTGCTGGTCGGGGGCCGAGACCACATCTACATGCTAAACTCTGACAGCCTCACACAGCCGTCACGCAAGGTCAGCTCACACAACCTCCAGCATCTGACAAACCCTGACGTCACATGCAGATCCTGAGGATAGGGGGTCACCAAAATGAAAACAGACCAGCGCTACACAATATATTACTGTTCACGTGAAGCTGAACATCTGTGATGTCGACTTCATGGCCTCTCTGAAGGCTTTTGTTGATTAGCAGAGAAAATTAAAGCGACTCGTCCTTCAGTTTGTTAAAGCACCGCATGTACTGTAAGATATGAAAAGAGATTCAAGAGAGAATCTTATTATATAATTCTACAAAGTTAGGTATATGTCAGACTTTATTGACAGCATATTCATGTTTATTTATGTCTACACTGTAAAAAAAACTATCCATATTTGTTGATTCATGTTATGTTTCACTCATTTGTGCTTTTAAATTCCATTGCGGGATCTTAAAGAGCTTTTGATGTTAAAAAGGTAAAAACATTTTTTTTTGACATTTTTAATAGTTTAAAGCAGGGGTCACCAATCACAGTTCTGGAGGGCCGGTGTCCCTGCAGGGTTTAGCTCCAACTTGCCTCAACACACCTGCCAGGGTGTTTCAAGTATACCTAGTACAAGCTTGATTGGCTTGTTCAGGTGTGTTTGATTAGGGTTGGAGCTAAAACTTGCAGGACACCGGCCCTCCAGGAACAAGTTTGGTGACCACTGGTTTAAAGCACAGGTCTCATACTCCATTCATGGAGTGCCACAGCTCTGCTCCAATCCTCATCAAACACACATGATGCCACCAATCAAGATGTTCAAGACTCTTTTGAACACCTTGATTATTTGGATCAGCTGTTTTTGATAAGGGTTGGAGCAAAACTGTGCAGAACTACAGCCCTCCAGGAATTGAGTTTGAGACCTATACTTTAAAGTGATACATGTCTGTGTTTGTGTTGTAAATTACGGTACAAAACCCTGGTAATAAACTAATTTTTCAGACCTAATTCTCTCTATATTATTCCTTAAAAGTCATTTTGTTTAACATTAGAGTTGAATTTTCAAATTTAAAAGTCTTAGATACATGCATAGATACAACTCTCGTAATGAAATCCACAATCATAAATAAATAGAAAACATCACAAATTTCGGAACCTGTTAATTAACAGATATTTTTACAGTGTATGTATATATCACTCACTTGACTGTTTGTTGCATTATTCTATTCTATTCTATTTTATTCTATTCTATTCTATTCTATTCTATTCTATTCTATTATTATGTTATATTATTATTCATTCAGTCATTTTCTTGTCGGCTTAGTCCCTTGAGTCGCCACAGCGGATTGAACCGCCAACTTATCCAGCACGATTTTATGCAGCGGATGCCCTTCCAGCCGCAACCCATCTCTAAGAAACATCCACACTCACACACACACACACACACACACACACACACACACACACACACACACACACACACACATACTCATACACTTTGGAGAACTTAGCCTACCCAATTCACCTTTACCGCATGTCTTTTGACTGTGGGGGAACCCGGAGCACCCGGAGGAAACCCACGCGAACACAGGGAAAACATAATAATATAATATAATATAATATAATATAATATAATATAATATAATATAATATAATATAATATAATATAATATAATATAATATAATATAATATAATATAATAAATGGATAAATAAGTACCAGAATGAGTACGAAAAATATGTAATGATAAAACTTAAACTTAAATTAATGTGCACATGAATAAAGAAATATTATCAGGTTAAATAATATAACAAATAATGTAATATACTAAATAAATAGATAAATAACGTACTAAAATGAGTAGGAACAACATATAATGATAAAACATAGTAGAAAATAAATATTTTAGTCATAGTTTAGACATGAAATCATTTTTTTAACATTAAATCCTTACAGTATAAAATGGATCTTCAAAAGAAAATATATAAGTGACTTTTATATTATAATTACAGTAAAACAGACTCTCCTTTCAATATGTTGCCCAGACATTTGTGTCTGCATTTGCATAATTCAGGCCTTAATTTTCCACTTAATATCATTAATCACCACTAAATAAACATTTCCTTTGATTTAATCTAAAACGATTGTCTTTTATGATAGTGAAATACCAAACTATGCCTGTAAGAAATGATTAGCTCAAACGTAAGGTCACAGTACAGTCAAAAATACGTGATCTTAATAAAAAGTAAGGCATGCCATGTTCAGAGTCTCCCAGTTATATAATTATGTACAGTGTGCTGATCGCCAGCTAATGATTAGGGGTCAATACCTGCACATTATTTCCACATGGAAATGATTACAATTTGAGAAGCATGTAGGTTGTTGAATAATGACGGAGCAACAGAGTTAATCACATATCTTTACAGAAAGCTTATGGGATATGTACGTTTAAAAAGAAATAAAGGTTGGAAAACACAGCTTAGTGTGCTATAGAGACTTTTAAACTATAATGTGTTGTTTTGTTCTGCATTATTTTCTGTTCCTTGGGAAAACTGTCTTTTTATTTATTTTTAGATTCACTGGCCAGCTGGACAGGAACACATTGAACGGTGCAAATATGCAGGAAAGAATCTATCGGTAAGAAGCTACAACTTTAAAAGGGCACAACTTTGGAAAAATGCTTTCAAGCACACGTAAATGCCTGTTTATTAACGTACTCTCACAGACTGAGATAAGAATAAAGGCTGAAAAATTATATTTATAACTCAATGGGGGGAATATTTCAAGTCTTAAGGGAGGGCAAGTTTAAAGTCCAAACCTCAGCCCTGCTTGCAATAACAGGCAAAAATCAGGTGCATTTCCATGTGATTTAAAACGCTTACACCCATCCTCACCATTACTCTTTAAAATCACACTTTTAATCACATACCACATGTTTCTCAGATGGACTGTGCCAATTATGTGAGACTCCTGCAGCCCTTCAACAAAACGCATGTCTATGTATGTGGAACGGGTGCGTTTCACCCACAGTGCACCTACATTGACCTGGGACATAATCTGGAGGTAAGTGATCTCTTTTTTAAGCCCACAACTAGTGAGAAATGCATCAAATGCTTTTGTAGACAATTTAAGCTTGTTATCGTCAATATATGAGCACCTACAGGAGGGTTTAATCCTGCCCTTGGAGGGTCAACATCCTGCAGAGTTTAGCTTCAACACACTTGCCTGCAACTTCCGAGTAAGATTTTGCTTGATTAGCTGGTGTGTTTAATCAGGGTTGAAGCTGAACTCTGCAGGACACTTCTGATCTACAGGGTCACTCCCGCTGTGAGTTTCTGACCGTAGAGCTAAGCTCATAATGAGGTAATGGTGCAAAAGAGTGACAGCTTTGTCTTGGTGTCCTAGAAACCAACCTTCCAGCTTCTCAGTCATGTTGGTGAATCCGGTAGGGGAAAATGTCCCTTTAGTCCACAGGAACCCTTTACCGCCCATCTGACAGGTAAGTTTCCAGAACAAATACTTTAAACACACGGTTTCCAATCCTGCTCCTGATGGTTAAGATGCCACTATCTTCAGAGATTAGCTTCAACATATCCCTAATCCCAATTGTCACACTTCATGTGCTCATGCAGACTTAAATGCCATATCTATTCTGTCGTTAAGACTGTGTCAGACTGATTAAATTGTCTTTTAGAGGCATGCATAGGAGCACACATTTTTGTAAAAGCAGCATTATGTCACGAAAGTACAGACTCTGCAGAGTTTAGGGTGTCATTTGGAACTGGGCCACACTTGTTAGAAACATTCTTGTCAGGGTTCTGCCACTCTGGTCTTTGTAAGTTCTTGTTTTGGTAGCAGAGCTCTGACACTACCCATGTCCGGTCCTGTTGCTGTCTCTGTGTGCGCGCGCGCCGTCAAGGGTGTACGCAGAGTGTGCGCGATGCCGCTTGATGTGGCCGCGCACGCACTGCGTCCGTCAGACGCGCGCGCTCTTGTACTAGTGTTTGTGTTTTCGTCTGTCAGCAGCGTGGTGTTTCATTCCCAGCGTCTCAGTCTTGTTGGTTTCGGTTTTGGTTGGCGCTGGGATGAAGCATGCACGCTGCGTGTGTGAGCGCACGGTGAGTGCTTTCATTCATCGTGTGCTCGTGTCTTGCGTCTTTTGTCAAAGCACGTGGCTCGGTGTTTACATTGTAGTCACGTGCTTTTGTCGTGTGCTTCAGTGTTGTGTTATGTGAGCGCATGGCTTGTATTGTCTCTCTGTGTCATGCGCTCTCCCGTCTATTGTCTAGTCCCACCCTCCTTGTTAACCCATTATTAGTTAATTGTGTTCACCTGTGTCAATTTACTTTTTGCTTTATAATCCCCCTGATGTTTTCAGTCCTTTGCCAGTTCGTCGTCGATTGTTTCCAGTCTTGTGTCCAGCCCTGTCTTGTCCTGCCAGTCCTGCCAGTCTAGTCAAGTTTGTTTATTCGTTTATTTGTTTTATTAGAGTTTTCCCCCTCGGGGTTGTTTGTTTTGCCTTTTTGTTTTTATTTTATTCTTAATAAACACCCATTATTTGCTGCACCTGAGTCCTCGCTCCTTTTTCCCCTCACCGAACGTGACAATTCTAGCACAGTCCCCTTCCTTGTAGGCCACTGTCCTGCAGAGGTTAGGTTCAGACTCACTTGAAACTTCTAGGCAAGTGTTTTGTAGCTGAAATACTATTGGGTGGCTGACCTTAAGCAACAGGTTTGGAAAAATATTTGCCATAGCCATATCACCCTTCAGCCCAAGAACGGTTACTCACTTAAACTAAGCAGGGCTGAGCTTGGCTGTACCTAGATGGAAGACCACATAGGAAAACTAGGTTGCTGTTGGAAGTGGTGTTAGTGAGGCCAGCAGATGGCGCTCAACATGTGGTCTATGTGATGTCCTAATGCCCCAGTATAGTGAAGGGGACACCATACTGTTAGTGGACGCCGTCTTTCGGATTAGATGTTAAACCGAGGTCCTGACTCTCTGTGGTCATTAAAAACCCCATGGCACTTCTCGTAAAGAGTAGGAGTGTAACCCTTGTGTTCTGGCCAAATTCCCTCCAAAGACCCTGACCCATCAAGGCCTCCCAATCATCCCCATCCACTGAATTGGCTGTATCACTGTCTCTCCACTTCACCAATAGCTAGTCTGTGGTGAGCGCACTGACACCATTGTCCTGTGGTTGTCGTCACATCATCCAAGTGGATGCTGCACATTGGTGGTACTGTGAAGAGACCCCACACATAGTTGTGTAGAGATTTGGCTGTACGACCATACACAATAAATGAGCTATATAAATACACACATTACAACTTAACCTAAACAGTGTATCGCAAAAAAACAAAACAAAAAAAAAAACAAGTCATCAGTCCAGGGGAGGTCAGGTTCATTCTTGGAGAGGCACTATCCTGCAGAGTTTTTATCAAACCTTAATAAAATACACCTATCTATTGCTTTTTGTAACCCTTTCTGTGCATTTAAACTGCTGCTGGTCAGAGTGTCAAAGTTGCTTTGACTATCAAACACTTTGGTTTTGTAACTAAAGGACTGCAATGCAAATGAGCCAATGAATTGCATTTCAACTGAAAAATAAACATTTTAGTAGGAAAATGTTTGACTATAAATAGTGTTGCAGGCCTTCTTACCGAATTGACATCACTATGGAGGATCAAGTTGTTGTGTAGATTATTGGAAAAAACCTGCTTTGGCAATAATCAACCCTTCCTTCTCTTTCCTGGAAACTAATATGGTCAAAGTCAAAGTATACTGGACTGTGTTATCTGGATTCCTTTTAAGTGACGGACTTCTACATTCCAATATGTGACTGTCCTTTGTGGTAGTTTGTTTGGTGTGTTTTACATGTCGCCTCTCATTTAGCTCATATCAGCCTCATTAAGTTAACATCGGCTGGATTCAGTTTGCCAAATTAAGCATATAGTACCACTATTAGGTCTATCAGCAAGAGAGAGCTCTCTCATTACCTGTTCAGCTATGGTTCAGATAGCAAAATAAAACATTAGACCAAAAATACAAGAGCAGGGGTGTCCAAACTTGATTCTAAGGGCCGGTGTCCTGAAGAGTTTAGCTCCAACCCTAATCAAACACACATGAACCAGCCAATCAATCTAAATATACTAGAAACTTCCTGGCAGGTGTGTTGAGGCAAGTTGGAGCTAAACTCAGCAGGGCAAGGACCGAGTTTGGACATACCTGTACAAGAGAAAAAACAATCAAACAACTCAAGTCAATGGGGAACACAAAGAAGCTAGCTGTCATTTTGTCAGATTTCTCAAATATTTGCTAATTATATTAATTTTTATATTATAAATTATATGGACATCAGATTCAGACATGTTTTCACAAAAAAAATGGTACGCAAAACACTGCTTTGTTTATAGATTGTATGTGTACAGCACTATTTCCAGTTTCCTTTTGTGGAATGACAATACAGACTACAGATACAGGTGCAAAACGCATGTTCTAGATTCAGTCAACTTTCATCCATTTGCTGTGTTTAAAAAAAAACAGTAGTTGGCTTGGTGTGTTCCAGGCTTTACATTGACAATGAATGACTTCCGGCCATTTTGACACTTTTTAACTGCAGCGTGAACTGTGAGAATGTGATTAGCTTGATTAGGGTGTGTTTGATTAGGGTTGGAGATAAACTTTGCTGGACTGTTGCTCTCAGGACTAAACTTGGCCACCCCTGCCCCTTTGTAGGGTAAAATACTGAGGAAACATGGATAAAAAGACCCATGTGTTAGACATTCTATCATATATGTCACTGATAAATTAATCCATATAACTCCTGACCAGATGTTAGTGTTTATCGGGAAATATAGAAATTCCCCTAGTGCACAAGTGTGTCAATCACATTAGTCTTTACTAGGCAGTTACTGTGCTGTAATTTAACAAAACAAATGCTCAGTTACTGTTAGAGTGTGGTCAGGAAATGAAATCCAGCTGCAAAATATACGTATATAATCTAAAAAATTTTTAAAGCACCGCAGATACCCCAAAATGCATAAACCATATGCTTCCTAATTAAAGACTATTACCGCAACTGGAGACCTTTTTGACCATTTAATGATGTCTTTCAAATAATCGAAATTTCCTTTTTTGCACAAGCTGCAGTACAAAGTAGTTTGACAGCGGATCTGGAGTCAGAGGGTAGACTCATTAAAAATGAGCACTGTTTCTTGGAAAATCATTTGTCATGTTAAGTCATTCTGTATGCGATTTTGTTGATATACTCATTTTAGATGGAGAGCTGTACGCTGGGACGGCCGTAGACTTCATGGGAACAAACGCTGCCATTTTTCGCACATCTGTGCATAGCAACAATCAACACTACATCCGCACTGAAGCGTACCAGGACCACTGGCTAAATGGTGAGAAGAGGATTACAAAGTTCACTGTGTTCATTATGTGTGCAAAAACAATATGGCTTGGGTGAAACTTTCACATTGCTAATAAATTGAAGCACCAAATAAATTGTTGATATCACAACATTGTTTATCAAAACCCAATTAGCAAAATATCTCTGGCCCACACAACCAGCCTTTAGTTGGCCCACATGACACGGTGAATTACAGTACATGACTGGACCAAGTCTGGCTTCCAGACAAGGGCCAAACATGGACCATATCTGGGCCAAGTCTCAGCCAAGTTAATAACCCATAACTGGGCCAGATATGTTGGTGTGTCATGACTGCCATGAAATTGATAAACCCATAAAGCATTGTCATTTAGGTGCTCTATGGGCGTGCTTTTTCTCGAAGTGACCTGATTGGTAAAACTTTTTATTAGTTTATTCAAAATTAATAAAAATGTATTTGAAATGTCAAGATAGGCCAAACTTACATGGCCCACATATCAATTATTAGCATCTGGGAAAATACTAGATTTGAAATGCGGCCTAAGTATTGTGTGCCGTACACAATGACACCTCTGCCAAACCCAGGCCATGTTTGACCCACATGCTGTATGCCAGTGTCGGATGAATGCCTGCTGTGCCAGCTTTATGCCAAATCTGGGCCAGAATTCTTTGCTACCTGAAAAGTTAACAAGGAAGCAAGAAGATGTAACATAAGATACAATACAGGCCGATATTTCTCTGGATTGCCATTCATTTCAGTGTTAGCATGAAAGTGCATGACCAAGATGCTGCCACTAGGGCTTAAGTTGTACAGGAACCAGCCGGATCCGGCACCTCTGAAATCTGATCCAGCACCTTATTTTACCGATTCCCCTTTTCACATTCACGCCCGCCACACTCTTCTCTTCTTCCGTGACTCCCCAACCCTCTTCACTTTCGCCTATGACACCCCCAACCGCCCCACTCTTCACTTTCGTCGATGATCTCTCCCCCACTTTACTTTCGTCTGCTATCTCTCCCTTCTCTAGTAACATGCTGGATCAGTTACCCCGATCTGTTCTGGGACCTCGCAATTTTCAAATTAAGCACTGGTTAGCACACATATTAGCTTGTAAGCTAACAGTTAGCTCACTAGCATTATTAGAACCAGCTAGTAAGATACTTTATTTCTGGCTGACACTAAAATGGTAACTGGAATGAAAATTCTTTCAAGCTGTCCAAATAAAACATCTGCTATAATCACAGTTGTGTGATTAATATGTTGTTCACAAGAGTAATTTGTCTTAGTATATAAAAAATGTGTGTTGTGTTGCGATTTTTAATGAAGTGCAACACAAAGCTTACTGGTCAGGAACATTTTGGCAGCAGATAAAAAGTAGGTGTATGGTCTGGAAGTTTGGAAATCGCTGTTTTGGGGTCACTGGTACTGCCTAAATAACTTTTGTGACTTTCTCCAACCCTCACTAATACCAGCTTCTCTTCACAGAGCCGGAGTTTGTGGGATCATATTCCATCCCTGACACACACAGCTTAGACGATGACAAAGTATACTTCTTCTTTAAAGAGACCGCCGTAGAGTCGAACCAGCTCGACAAGCGTATCTACAGCCGAGTGGCTCGTGTCTGCAAGGTGAGCGTCAAGTCCAGTGCCGTAATGAGCCAATAAAAACATGAAATGGATCCAAAAGATCTTTGTTTGGTATGCAGAATCAATGAGTCTTTTGTAGACATGGATGTGTAAGCCTCGGTGTCATCTGTTGCACGGTAGTAGCAGCATCATGTATCTAATAATGGATGAATGAAGTGTTTGTTTGAGAGTAATTAAACACTAATCTTGCGTCAAATCTAGCAAACCAGGTTTTCAGTTCAGGCTTTACATACCAGAGCACAGTCTGGAATACATTACGTGAGTTTTTTTTGTTGGTCTGAAGGCAACCTAGGCTCATTCTGATTTTGTACCCCTATATACGTTTATTGAGCAAAATTGTTTTGCAGTGTTTGTTTTCGTGAATCCGCCAGAGGCCTCTGTGTATGAGTTTTGAGATATCAAATTCGCCATTCGCGCCTGCCGTTCTCATGTAAATCCACCAGAGGCTACTGTCGACTAACTGACTGACTGACCAACCAACCGAACCCTCCAACCACCCCTTTCCCAAAACCCAACCAATAGTGTTTTCAATAGCACCTATTGACACCCCCAACCCCCTTTCCTAATCCCAACCTAATCCCGTTTGGAGAAGCAATACAGAAAAAGAAAAGCCCCCTGATTTTTTTACCACATTTTCAGATTATATCACATTCTCACCCTGTTATTTACTTGTTTATTTTATTTTTTGGCTTTTGTTATTGAATTACCTGCTTTCTTTACTAGACGCTAACTACTTTGTTGTGGTCAACTCCGCTCTGCATCTCAAGTTTGCCGTCTTATGTATTGAGCTACCAGACAAACTGGTAACGGCAGGAAAGCCGTACGTATGCAGGTATGCGGTCAGCTGATAAGCGAGAAAAGGAACTGAGTCATACCGCCCTGTAGCATTCATTTTAAAGATGTAGAGCATATATAGGGCTACGTTTTCAGAGTGAGTCTATGTTGTTTGAAGGAGTAAATGCTAGATGATGAAGCTCAGAGGAATTTCACCAGTTATTTAAGATATGATGTGTAGGGATTTAAAATGGTTTCTGGTAGTGTATTCTATACTTTATATACGTTGTTGACACAATGTTGGATTTTCCCAAAATTAGACAAATATTATGTTGTCATCATTTAAAATGCAGTAAATAGTTAAACATTTCATTTTCTTCCATGGAACTCTTTCTATAAAACTTCCTATAATGCTGTGACTCAATTATAGTTGAAAAATTACTCTTTTAAATGAACCATTTTAGCATCATTAATAAATATCTCAGGCCTAATTTATTTTAGTAAATGACATAATTTTTTTTCCATACATACCATTTATAAAAACATAGGAACTTTATACATTTTGTCATTAAGAACCATGCCCTCTAAGTCTAATGTGACACTATATGCCAATTTTAAATGGGCCAAATACACAGAAAACTTTATTTAGTTGAATGATGCCATTCAAGATTATGTGACTGATGCCCCTGTGAAGCCCGTAACATACACCTGTTAATTTTTTTTCTCTGAAATTTTAAGTTTTGTTGTCTTTTGGTGTGACACACAAATTTACTGAAAATGGCCAACAAATCATGGAGAAAACATAATATTCCTAATATTATTAAAAAAAAAAAAAAAAATATATATATATATATATCATTACAATAAGATAAGTCTCCATCCATTTTTATTTTTTATTTCTGTGTAACACCATAGGACATTTTTGCAGTACAGTTCAGTAAAAAGTATTTTTAAATTTATTGACCCCTTATATTTTCCTCAAAGAACTAACTTCAAACTACATAAATATAAAGTGTTTAAAATATAAAGTGTTTAACAAAAAATAAAAATAATAAATTTTACTGACTATTAATCAACTACTAGTATGTCCTGTGCTTGATCTTCATCAGAATGACATCGGTGGAAAACGAAGCTTGATTAACCGCTGGAGCACCTTCTTGAAGGCCAGACTTGTATGCACAGTTCCAGGACCTGGGGGCATGGACACACACTTTGACGAGCTGGGTATGTTTACACACTCTAATCACACTTCAGTCAACCTACTTAGAGGGTGACTGATCTGGTAAAGTCAACATGAACTCAAGAAATCCATCCTAGTTATAGTTTTATTTGACATTCCTGGTGCTTTCTGCTTATTGTTTATTTTTAGAGGACATATTTCTCTTGGAGACTAAGGATCCACAGAATCCAGTCATCTACGGAGTCTTCTCTACCTCCAGGTAAGTTCATTATCTGTAATATCAGTGCAATCGTGAATCCCTCTTCAAGTCACCACCGCATAATCCTCTTGATTTTTGATAACCACATTCCTGTCAGTGTTATATTTGTTTACCACATTATCATTGGCTCCATCCAAATCAATCAATCCGTCAAACTTTACAAACCCCTTAAGGTTCTCAAACCTCCCTTGATCGTTCCAAAAGACTTAATCTGATTACCTCAGTTTATCTTGTGAACTTACATCAATATCAGAACGCCCCTAAAATCAACAGTCTAGTCACAGGATGGTCTCCTCCCTGTCCGATCCATGTAGAACAATCTGTCTCGGTGCTCCCACCCGAGGAATGGATAGCTTGAGGCCATACAGCGGGGTGAAAGGTCACTGTGAAAGAAGCTCTGTTATTCTAACCTAGCATCAGACTAATACTTGTTTCCTTTTCAAAAGCTCTGTCTTCAGGGGTTCGGCAGTTTGTGTCTATTCCATGGCTTCCATCCGAGCTGCATTTAACGGGCCCTTTGCGCATAAGGAGAGTCCCGATTATCGCTGGATGGAGTACAAGGGGAAAATCCCTTATCCAAGGCCCGGAACGGTGAGTTCTCAACAGGGAGGAATTATGCTTTGTAGGTTAGAGAACATTCTTTGTCGAATGTATAGATGTGGTTGAATCGAACATTTTTAAGTGCAAGCCAGTTTTGAGACCTACTGTTGATTCTGGAATTGCAGACGAGTAAGGACAATCATGCAGAAAGTCACTCTTCATACTAGCTGCACTGCCTCAAGGGGGTTGTAAAAGTGTCGTCAGGCACTCATTGGGGGTCACGCGTCAGAGCGGTTGGTGAAGTGGTTGGAGCGTGGACTTTTAATGGCAAGGTCTCCAGAAGTCAATCCTAAATGCTGTGGTTTCTGCTCCATTAGTTGTCAAAGTCCCGACCACAGAGTTTACCTAAACTCTGAGTTGACCGAGGGACCATTTCAAATGATGGGGTTCAGTTACTTCAGGGTAATTAAGAAGATCATACTTAAACTTAATTAGCCTACTTTAAACATCCTCACATATTAGTTAAATGAATGTACTTGTGCCGATTACTTATTTACTGCTTGGACTTTCCTGCTACATATTAAGTAAAGGTTACTATTTCTGGCTTTACAAGGTAATGATGAAGGTACATATACTGTTGGACATCATAGACTAGACAAGAAGTGAAGTTGGAGAAAGAGAGGGTGGAATTGAGAGATGGGAATGCAGTACACTTAAAATACAACCATGCTGTGCCAGAATATTGCTCAAAAGGATACTTGCCCCAACATGGAGATTCCAATATTTAAAATTTTTTACTCATGCAAGGTTAGTGACAACTTTATCATGCAAGTTTCCAAATCGTATTTATAACACACCCCACTTTAAAGTCTTAGATGGACTTTATTCAATGGGTAAACCAAATTGTTGAAAAAAGCAGAAGATTCCATGCAAATGGCATTTCTCAATATGGACAAACAAGAATTATGATGCACGCTGTACTAGGATCTCAAACAGTGGCCAAAATCCACATCTGCACAACTGTTTTTGACTATTTTTACCTTAGTCTGGGACTGTTACCCCAAATCCAGTCCCAAAAGGGTTTTAAAATATGAGCTTAACTTGCTGTCCTGTATCCCATCAGTGTCCAAGCGAGACCTACGACGCTTTATACAAGTCCACTCGAGATTTCCCAGACGATGTTGTGAGCTTCATGAGGGCCCATCAGCTGATGTGGGAGCCAGTGGTGCCCATCCACAGACGTCCCGTCTTCACTCGTATCAACACCCCCTATAGGCTGAAGAAGCTTGTGGTTGATAGGGTAGATGCGGAGGATGGCCAATATGATGTTCTGCACCTTGGCACAGGTATGTTGGAAAGCAGTTCATTGAACTGAATCTTTTAATCTTGTAATAAATGCGATAACTAGTCCTTTTGTTGCCTATAAGCTTAAGACCTATGGTTGAGGTGCAAATAAGGAATTCTCCTACATAAGCTATCACATGTAGTAAACACCATTAAACACGACCTCTGTTCCCACGCTGGTCAGTTGTTCTGTTGCCTGGGATCACCTTAATAATCGGAGCAGACAATGTTTCTTTTCCTGTCTAACATTTGTCCTCCTGGACTGCTGGGTGTATACATGAACTCTGCCACCTCTAAGTGAATCATTTAGGGTGAGCAGATGCTCGGTTCAGGACAAATATGCTCAACCTGTATGTACAGAGAGCAGGCTCGCTATTTCGCTGTGTATAGGAGGAGGACAGTGTAACAGCTGTCAGCCCTCAGGGTGCTGGATAAATCTAGACGCCAAAAGCCAGTGCTCACTCACCATGGTAACTAAGTTAGAGTGCATTATGGGATATATTTACAGATGGGAAATTGATGGCTCAGGTTGAATCTTAATGTGAACATCTGCTTATAGTATCTACTGTCTGTCTGTCTGTCTATCTGTCTATCCATCCATCCATCCATCCATTTTGCTTCATTCCATTTATCTGTCTGTCTCTCCGTAAGTTTGTGATTTTATTTAATGCAATCTTACATGGTAAACTGGTCTGTGTCTCCAGATGATGGTCGAGTACTTAAGGTGGTCTCCGTACCTAAAGAGAACTGGGAAATTGAGGAAATCATTTTGGAGGAGTTAAACGTCTTCAAGGTAATTCAACAGGATCTCAGTTTCCCCTCTTCAGTCTGTCTTTCCATCTGCTGGACTCCCTCCTGACCTCTGACCCTAGGCTCTTATTGCTTGTTGTTTTCATGTCAAGCACTTCCCAAACAAAAATAACTCCTAAAGAAGAAAACCAGATTGCTCTCAGATTTCCCATGGCTGTCTGCTCAAGTGACCAAACCCAGGGGCAGGAGAGGCAATGTTACACCCTGAACATTGTGGTGGCAATGTTACACCAATAATATTGTGGAGGCAGTGTTGCACTAAGAATATTGTGTTTTGCAAACAAAAAGAAGATCTCATTTGTCAATAACTTGAGACTGAGGAATGTGTCAGGTTTGCTGGAGGATGGATGAAATGAATGCAAATAGATATCAACAGGATGCCAAAACATGAGATGCCAAAACAATGTTACATAGAAGAATGGAGAGTTTTCAATAGTATTTAGCATCTATTTGTATAGAAATATGTGAGCCTAGACCACAAAACAATTATAGCCAGAAATACACTTTTATGCGTCAATAATAGATTTTACTTTTATGCCAAAAATTATTAGGATATTAGGTAAAAAAAATCATGTTCCTTCAAAATATTTTGTAATTTTCCTTCCATGAATATATTAAAAAGCAAATTGTTTGATTAGAAACTTTGAACAAATGTAAATGCAATTCTCTCAGTATTTAGATTTATTTTAACTAGTTGTATCTCAGTTAAATATTTTCATACCCCAACAAAGTATACATCAATAGAAAGCTTATTTATTTAACATAACACATAACTCTTAGGGCTCTATTTTGATGGTCCATGCGCAGAGCGCAAAACGCAGGGCGCAAACGCTTTCAGGGCGTGTCAGAACGCATTTTTGCTAATTTAAGGACGGAAAAATCTGCTTTGCGCCATGGTCTAAAGGGGTTGAGTTTATTTTCTTAATGAGTTATAGGTGTGTTTTGAGAATAAGCCAATTAGAGTCTCATCTCCCATTCCCTTTAAGAGCCAGCTGCGTCGCGCCAAGAGCGCATTCGCTATTTACAGGACGCAAAGTAAGTCTAAGTGGAAAAAATGAGCATTTCACTAACAAACAGTTAACTGTTTGTTTTTAACAGAAAACTGTTAAACAGAGCATCTACTGCGTGAGAATGAGAGATAATGGATCTACTTTCACATTCGTTCTTGGATAGGGAAACCTTTACGCACAGACATCAATTAGTCTATAAATAATTAATTTCGTTTGTTAAGCGCAAATATTCGTTTCAAAACTATTTCTAAATTCAGTTCTAATTTCCAGCAAACGAATAAATGAACAATAATAATAAAGTGTGCTCAAAACCTGAGTTATATCCTAAAACACATGCTGTGCCCCATATGGTCTAAAACCTGACAGGTGGGCAAATCTAAGCTTGTTTTTAACAAAACAAATATAAATATGGATATATTAAATAATACTGCTAATAATAATAACATTTTACAAAAGCAAATTGTTATGAATGAACTAAAAAAAGCCTCCCGAGACGAAGAAGACATAAAAGCAATGATTTTTCATATTTATGTAGGCTAGAAAATAATATGTTTTGTAATATTTTAATCCTTTATATTTATATCCTATATCTATTCTTATTATATCGTATATATATCCTTAATATCTGTATTTTTTCATATGTAAAGATATTTGCCTACTGCTCTCTTGTGTGTATTAAGCAGTGTGTAAGCGAGGCCCAACTCTGCACCAGAGTTTAGACCAGGTTAGTTTTGGTCTAATGAAAAATCTATTATAGTTTCTAAAAATAGCAACGCGCCAGCGGTCCGCCGCAGAACGCCTTCCTTTTTAGACCAGAACGCCTATGGGCGCACATATGAGCGCTAATGTATTTGCTATTTAAACAGTGTAGCGCAACGCATCAAAACGACTCTTGCGCCAAGCTGAAACTAGCAAAAGACTATTGCGCTGCGCCTTGCGCCACATTGCGCCGGGTGTATGATAGGGCCCTTCATTTTCAAACAAAATCACACTTATGGCTGGTTTCATTTCAAAATGACTACATACACTACCTGATAAAAGTCTTGTCGTTGATCCCAGTTGTAAGAGCAACAAATAATAACTTAACTTCTAGCTGAACTGCATCCCAATCCCCACAAATACTGCAGATGACCTATTGCAACCCACATGGACTCTCACAAGATTCTCACAGAAATCAGTCAAGGAAAAATCATAGTTTGGGGTTACATTCAGTATGGGGGCATGCGAAAGATCTGCAGAGTGGATGGCAACATCAACAGCCTGAGGTATCAAGATATTTGTGGCACCCATTACAATACAAACCACAGGAGAGGGCAAATTCTTCAGCAGAATAGCACTCTTTTCCAACCTTTAGTCTCCACATAAAAGTTCCTGAAAGCAAAGAAGGTCAAGGTGCTCCAGGATTGGCCAGCCCAGTCACCAGACATGAACATTATTGAGCATGTGAGATGGAGAAGGCATTGAAGATGAATCCAAAGAATCTTGATGAACTCTGGAAGTTCTGCAAGAACGCTTTCTTTGCCATTCCAGGTGACTTTTAGTAAGTTATTAGATGATATTAGATGAGTATTAATAAGCTACTTGAGTCATTGCAGAGATGTATGAATGCAGTCCTCCAAGCTGATGGGTGTCATACACAATATAATTCTTTTTCCACTGCACCAAGACTTTATATTCTATACTGTACATTATTTCTGTTAAGGGATAAGACTTTTGTCTAAGCAAAGTCAGACCTTACTGTCCTAATTAAATAATTAAAAATCAAGACATGTTCATGTTTTATTTTGATAAAATAAGTGTAATCTAGAGGCCTTTGCCTTTTATATAAGCCACTTCTAAAACCAAATGATCAACTAGAAGTCAAGTTATTATTTGTTGTTCCTAAAACTTGGATAGGCGACAAAACTTTGTAAGGTAGGGTAGACCACAAAATGAGTACACATGCTACAGAATTTGTAACAAACAGACCAGTAATTTACTAAGCTTGTTACCAACTGAACCCCACTGCTTCATATCAAATGAGGTTTTTAACCAAAGGACATAAACCTAATTGTGCATTATGGCTATCAAGTCAAGTGATTAAAACTCCACTGAAAACATAATTATGTGTATAGCAGAGCTGCATGAGTCAATCAAGCCTATCAGGAGACATATTTCAGCAGGCATTGCCCAGCAGTCATTTGCTGAAAGAAAGTGGTTTCAGGAGTCAAGCCTCATTTGCTGCAGTATATGAAGGAGAAATGAACCAATGGAGCAGAACACTTTAAAACATGCACAAGGCCCAGTTGTGATGAGCTGCTCTTATTCAGTGCCAACAATCCGTATCTTCTCCCACTTTGTTTGGGAGTTCATTCATTTCACGTGTTGACACATTTTTCCTTCTCTCATTCTTCATCCCATAGACTCAGACCCCAATATTAAGCATGGAGCTGTCCACCAAGAGGGTGAGTGGATGAGTTTGCTGGGTGGTCATTTGCTTTAATAACAATATAAACGGCATGTTTTTGACTTGTATAATTACTTTGTTCTTCTTCAGCAAGTGCTGTTCATAAGCAGTGATGAGAATGTCGTCCAGCTTCCCGTTCAGAGATGTGAACTGTATGGTAAAGCGTGTGTTGACTGCTGTCTAGCTCGAGATCCGTACTGCGCTTGGGACGGCTCCTCGTGTACTAACTACTTCCCCAGCAACAAAAGGTACTTTTTCTAGTCATGCATTTAAAACATTTTTTGTACCACTTTATTATAGTCCAGTTGCACATGCAGACTTTATATACTTTTAATAATAGTTATGTTAACTGGGTAATAACTAACCTAATCTTAAAGTGATAGTTTATCCAAAAAATACTTATTTACTTTACTTTTTGTTGGAAACATGCTGGACGATCCTTTCCTTCTTTGGTGCGGAGCACACGGTGTCCATTTCTCCAAAGAAATATCTGAAATACTGGTTCATCTGATCACAGTACATGTTTCCACTGTGTAATAGTCCACCCCAGATGCCTCAGAGGCCAGAGACGTCAACGGTGCTTCTGGACACTGTTAACATAGGGCTTCCTTTTGACACAGTACAGTTTTAACTGGGATTTGTGGACGAAACTAAGTGTTGTAGTACTTGTATATAATAAATATTATATACATTTATTTATACAAAATATTCTAATTTAGAATTAAATAAAACAGTCTAATTACAATATGGAATATGGATTTTCCGAAGAAGAACAAAAGTTAGATATGCATTGTTTATTTATATAATAAGAAATATGTCTAATTATGTATTGGCAAGAACAGTAGCCTACTGAAAATGTAGGAGCAATTATTTAGCAAACTCTTTATTTTAATGTGGTTAACTACTAGTCTTTTTAACCAGTCTGTTAAATAGTTTCATGCAATTAAATCTTTGAAAGGTTCACTTTGCAATGTCAGTCTATAGCAAGCTTTACTGTTGTAATTAGTGTTACATGCAGGTGCTCAGCTGTATAGCATTAAGTAAATATGGGATATTTTCCAATTTCCAATGAAAATTATGATTTATTTTTTAATTAATTAATTATTATTTTATTTAATTTATTTTGTTTTGATTTTTAAAATTAATTAATTAATTCTATTTTACTTAATTTAATTAAGTAATTAATTAATTAATTTTATTTTTAATTAATTAATTTATTTATTCATTCTATTTTCTTAATTTTATTAATTTATTTTAATTAATTTATTTTAAAATTAATTAATTTATTTTAAAATTAATTAATTTATTTTTATTTAATTTTATTTATTTTAATAAGTTTATTTTTTAAATGTATTAACTCATATTTAATTGTATTAATTTTATTTATCTTTTTATTCATTTTATTTTATTATAATTTTTTATTCATTCATTCTATTTTATTTTATTTTATTTTATTAATTTTATTTATTTATTCATTTATTTTTTTAATTCATTCATGTTTATTTAATTTTATTATTTTTATTTATTCATTTTATTTTTTATTCATTTATTTAATTAATTTATTTATTAATTCATTCATTTCGTTTTATTTTTTTTTATTTTCTTTATTTCATTTATATTATTTTATTATTCATTGATTTTTTTATTGTATTTTTATTTTATTAATACATTTATTCATTCATTTTATTTATTTATTTGTTTATTTTTCCCTGTTTTACCTTAATACCTTTATATTTTATAAAATTAATAGAAAATTTTGGAAACTGGTAGCCATTACCTGTTTCCATCCACCTATTTTAAGTACATTTTTGTTCAAATTTTAGCATTTTGAGCATATGATAATAAAAATGGGCCAATTTTACATAGTAGTAAACAGAACATGGAAATCAATCGGTTTTCAACATTCTTCAAAATGTGTGTGCATCAGGAACCACTTAAGTATGAATAAATGAAGACAGAGTTCATTTTTGGGTGATACTGTATCCCTTTTACTCATGTAGCATGCATAAAAGTGCACATGCTGTGAAATATAGTAGAAACCACATCTTGACCCTAACCTCTTTTAATCATTGCTGAAGACAATATTGAAAACCATCAGCAAACCTGTCAAATGGTGGTTGTGAGGGTGGGTAACATCCTCTTATGGTCCACAGGCGCGCCCGGAGACAGGATGTGAGGTATGGAGACCCTTGGAGCCAATGTCAGGACATGAGAGACGGTAATAAATCACTTTACAACTTTTCATCTTCATGTTGTATATGATATTTCCCAGTCCTCGAATAAAGAGGACGCTACTCCCTCTAGTGTACAAAATGGATATTGACATACAACACCAGTTAATATGGGATGCATGTTCTAGGTCTTTCTGTGAATAACTAATTTTAAAAGAAAGTATACGATAAATATTATAGTAAGTTAAAAGTGTTCATTGCTGTCTGTAGGCTCAGAGAATGCTGAACTGAAGACGGTTTACGGCGTGGAGACAAACTCAACTTTCCTGGAATGTGTCTCAAATTCACCACAAGCCACTATCAAGTGGATATTTCAGCCAAATCACAGTCAAAACAGCAAAGAGGTCTGTCGACATACTCTTTAACTGAATATTAAATCAGAGTCAATATGTGTACAGTATATTTATACTGAAAGGTTTAGTTTTCCCAAACAATGAAAATTAATCATTAATTACTTACCCTCATGCCATTCCAAATCCATCTTTGGAACACAAATGAAGATAGTTTTCATAATATTTTAGATATTTAGAGACTGTCTTTTGAGATTTATAGATTTAGAGACTGTCTCTTGAGTTTTATAGATTCAGAGACTGTCCTTTGAGATGTATAGATGTAGAGACTGTCTCTTGACAGTCTATTTATCCAAAACTCTAATTATTTAAATAATTCCTTAAAGTTCAGTTAAAAGTTTGAGAGTTTTGGGTGAACACAAGTGCCTTTATGGGTTTCGCTGCAAAAAAAATAAATAAATAAATCTTCTTACTTAGAGTTTTTGTCTTATTCTGATCCAAAATCAAAAATTTTTTAAATCAAGATACATTTTCTAAGCAATTGTTGTTTTGTGTTTAGAGATTGTAGGTCCAAATTTAATGTCAATTAATTATTTTCCCGTGAGGGAAGATAAATAATTTTATTTCTAACCAAAAGCATGAATAATTTACTTACCCTACTTGCAAATTATTTAAATTTGACTTATAATTTCCAAAAAAAATATATATATATTTCTTACTTGTTCTGAATATGCTTCTTGATTTAAGAATCTTTAGATTTTTAGACTAGAAATGAGACAAAAACTCTAAGTAAAAAAAGCATTTGTGCAGTGTAAAACTCAATAAACAATTACTAGGAACAATGGAACACGTTTTTGAAGCATATTAATGTCAAAACCTATGACCCCATGTGATGTGTGGACATGCATTTAAACGTTTTCATAAGAGTTTCACATGAAAATGCTCCAAAGCCACATGTTTTATGTGTGTTTCACGTCGTTAACTTGTGTGGTTTTCTCTAAGAAATACACAGAAAACAATATTTGTTTAATTTACTAAAAAAAAAATAGGTTACAAAACTATTTATATGGGCTGAATTGAAACAAATAATTTTAAGTTGAACATTTCTACATTATTATGTTTGATTAAATTCATCCCATATAAATTGTTTGCAAACACTTACCTTTAAAAACAATTTGGAAATCCAATTAAATACTTTTTTTCAGTGTATTACGGTACAGAAATTTCTCAGATTCAGTTAAAATACCTTTGTTTATGCTCCCAATATTACTACATTTCTCATGGGTTTGGAATCCATAAGGTTTGGGGTAGAGGTCTGCATTCCCATGGCACAACCCAAACAGATTTCTTGCAGCGCTTTAGTAAATTTTCCAATAAAACGCAGCAGCAGGTGGTAACTCTGGTGTAATTTGAATGGGAGCGTGTGGAAATATTTTGAGAGTTTGTAAAATCTGACTTTGAAAGAGTCTTAATAGCCACAAATCTCACCACACGTCACGCAGCACTCAAAGAAAACATTTAGCCTACAATTCTTGCACAACCTACACTTTTATCTGTTATCTCCCTCTTTTGGTAGTGTCCAATTTTAATGTGAAATTTTGGAAACCAGATCTACATTTTGCGGGAATGGTTGGGTCGGGTAAAAACCGAGGCGGGTCAGGCAGCGGGTGAACAAAGCCTGAATATACGGCAGGAGTGGTCAGGTGCGGAATAAAACCTGGCGGGAGCGGGATTAAAAATCCAGTCTTGTGCTGATCTCTAGTTTAGGGTCTAGTTTAGGGCATAGAATTAGCATAGACAGAGGGGACGTATCCCCACCATATCCACTGACTATTAAAATGTTCCCACCAATAATTTAATTCACTTAAGAAATTGCACTGTCAACATTAACATAGACATGCAAAAAGGGTTAAATCACATTCCCTCAAACACATATAACCATGGTGATTGGCTTAGCCTTTCCTTGTCATGTGAGAGGCTGTAGCTACTTTCATATGTAGCAGTGCTTAAACAAGAATAAGGTGAGTGAGGATGGCGGCAGCAAAAGGTGGACATAAGGAGCTTTCTTCTGTATTGAATAATACTGTGGATGAATACTGTGGATGAATATGAATAGTACAGGAATGCGAGTGTTTTTTCCCCGCTTTGACGCACAGTTGAATGTCATATAGCAGGCTGTTATAGGCCAAGTCAAGGGGTCACCAATCTTGGTCCTGGAGGGCTGGTGTCCCTGCTCGGTTTAGCTCTTAGCTTGCCTTAACACACCTGCCTGGGTGTTTCAAGTATACTGTACCTAGGCTGTTTCTTAATATCAGTTCTTCAGCGGTCTTGCATTCTCGTGCAACGTCATCATCAGCTGCCTAAGTTCAGTTCCAAAACTCAAGACCGCAAGTACAGAGAACGCGTGAAACTTCCCGGATGTGATCTTGATATCGAGGACGCACCGATGCAGTCATGAGTACCGAACTCACTCTGGAAGTACCAGAAGTCATTGCGACTGGAGGTGGGAAGCGCTATTATTAAAGTTCAGAGATATCACTTATTTAACTCAGTAGCTTTCCTGAATGAAACGGTGTAAGTAAACATTACCATCAACATCTTAATAAAGGAATAAAAACATTAAGGGTGTTTGTATTGCTGAAATTTGCATAAAAAATTTGTTTTATTTATAATTTGCAGAGTATATTGATAATGGTTTTATGCAGAGTATATATTTTGAAAAGGGGAAACACAATAGTGATGGGAAGTTCGGATCATTTTACTGATTTGGATCTTTAAGTCTCGTTCATCAAGATGAACAAATCTTTTTTCGAGTCATTTCGTTCATTTGGTTCAATTTGCCAAAATATTATTAAAATGTTACGAATTGCTTCCAAACACATCTACAACTAGCCCAAAAGCTTGATTGCACGACAAATAAGTCATAAATAGAATATAAGAAGGAGAAAATAATAATTCAATGTTTACCTGCTCTTTTGTCTATGAAGGTATTGTTGTTTCTTTGCTCAGCTCACCTCTTCATGTCTTCAAATGTCAGGGGTTCATTCACGTTACACTGACAGTCACATATAATCTTAATCAATGCACAGGCTAAGCTGATACGAGCCATGACCGTTCGTTCATCACGTGAGAGAATGACTCAAACCCGAGGACTCGAGAGATGAACAGTTCAATTCTTTTTCCGGCTCTAAACGCGCATGATTGGCCCATGAGAAACGAGTGACTCAGACCCGATAGAGGACTCGAGAGATGAACAGATCAAAACTTTTTCCGGCTCTAAACGCATATGATTGGCTCGTGATGAACGAGTGACTCAGACCCGATAAAGGACTAGAGAGATGAACGGTTCAATTCTTTTTCCCGCTCTAAACGCGTATGATTGGCTCGTGATGAACGAGTGACTCAGACCCGATAAAGGACTAGAGAGATGAACGGTTCAATTCTTTTTCCCGCTCTAAACGCGTATGATTGGCTCGTGATGAACGAGTGACTCAGACCCGATAAAGGACTAGAGAGATTAACGGTTCAATTCTTTTTCCGGCTCTAAACGCGTATGATTGGCTTGTGATGAACGAGTGACTCAGACCCGATAAAGGACTAGAGAGATGAACGGTTCAATTCTTTTTCCAGCTCTAAACGCGTATGATTGGCCCGTGAGAAACGAGTGACTCAGACCCGATAGAGGACTCGAGAGATGAACGAATCAAAACTTTTTCCGGCTCTAAACGCGTATGATTGGCTCGTGATGAACGAGTGACTCAGACCCGATAGAGGACTCGAGAGGTGAGCGGATCAATTCTTTTTCCGCCTCTAAATGCATTTGATTGGCTTCTGTCAATGTGATGAAGACTTTAAATTAACGATACCTGCACAAATGTGCACACGCGCGGATGAACGAATCACTCCCTGAGAGGACTCGTAGTTCCCGAGTCATTTTGAAGATTCGTTTAAAATGAACGAATCGTTCATGAATGACCCATCACTAAAACACAATAAATTGTTATATGAATGCTGCACTGTTTAAATAATTTACCATTAAAACGCAGCATCTCAAGGATGCATTCTCTGTTCTCGTGGTCTCCAGAGTTCGTTCTTCCGAGGACACCTGGCAAGATGGGTTTCCATAAGAACGCAAGAACTTTCTTTGCGTTCTTGGAATTGAGAAACATCCCTAGTAAAACCTTGATTGGCTTGTTCATTTGTGTTTGATTAGAGTTGGAGCTAAAATCAGCAAGACACCGGCCCTCCAGGTTTGGGGACCTCTGGCCTAGTCTGTGAATGTGGTCTGAAAACTAACTAAAGAATAAACAGCTAATTGTAAAAGTATTATAATGATCCCTTCAAATACTCATGATCTCTCAGAGTAGCATATTGAATTTCGGTTGAAACTATTTGTCAGAAAAACATCAGCCTACTACTTTTAGCCATCTACTTTAGCAATCTACTTTTATTAATACTGCTGTATGAGACCTGTTTCATTTGCAATAGGGCTAAAAACATCTTTAATAACTGACAAAGAGAGAATTTAATAAAGAGGGGAGTTTGTTCATAGGTCCCCACCAATGTCAAGAGCAAATGTATGCCCTTGAATAGGATATAATAACAATGAGTAAATGACAGCAGAATCTCTTTCCTCTTTCTATCCCACAGTTAGTTCCTGGTGAAGAAAACCTTCTCCACATGCAGCGTGGGCTGCTCCTCCAGCAGATAACTTCTACTAATGCTGGCCTGTACCTCTGCATGGCCTTCGAGCACTCCTTCTCCCGTACGCTAGCTCGCTATGAGCTTCACGTCATCCCCCAGAACCAAATGTCAAGAGCCCAGAACAACCTTCCCGGAAATCACGCAACCTCATTGCGGAGCTACAAGGAACTACACTTAATGGGAGTTGGTGGGCTAACGGCAGACGAGTACTGCGAGCACCTTTGGTATCGTGAGAAACGGCGACAGCACAAGCATCGCACGCTAAAGTGGAAACAGGTGTCTGAAAACCGTAAAGCCAGAGTGCGGCGGCAGAATCCACCCGACGAGCCTCTAGATGGAGGTGAAACTGCGGACTTTTAATGACAAATGTGTGACTTTTATCTGGACAAATTAGCACATTGCAGCGAAATGGCTACCAGCTACTGCTAGCACAACAACGCAACCGAGGGCCACAGTACATGAGAACTATATTATTCTTCTAAAACAAATTATTATGTAGCTTGTGCTAGTGTTAGCATGTAGCTTTAACACAAGTATAATCAAAGAGCCTGCCGCTGTGCAACTGAATTTGCACATTTTATGTTCATTTCACTCTGTTTATATTGTTTGTCAACATTTATGAAAGACAAGCACCTAAGCTAAATGCTAGGTATTGTTCAAAAGCTAATACTGAAAACAGACAAGCTAACGCGCTGCCGTAAGCTAATTGTAGCGCAAAGAAACTGATGTCACTTGCCATAATGAAATCTGATCTATGGAAATATATACAAATGACATATTTGACTTCATATTTATATTGTGTGGGGTGGCTCAGTGGTTAGCACTGTTGCCTCACAGCAAGAAGGTTGCTGGTTCAAGTCCCGGCTTGGCCAGTTAGCATTTCTGTGTGGAGTTTGCATGTTCTCCACGTGTTGGCATGGGTTTCCTCCAGGTGCTCTGGTGTTCTCTCCATTTGTCCTACCTTGTCAGATTGTCCTACCTCCCATTCAAAATGTAAGTAGCACATTTCTAATGATGCTACCTATCAGATTTTGCCACCAGTGTAAGTTTTAATGTGGAGTAGTGTGATATGAAGCTATAATATCGCCCTAACCTATGTAATCCCTGACCCCCCAACTCCAGAACCATTCACATACAGTGTTGGTAGCATAATCTGATGAGTAGGATAAAATGTCAGGACACCTGGTTTCCCCCACAGTCAAAATACATGCGCTATAGGTGAATTGAATAAACTAAATTGGCCGTAGTGTGTGTGTGTGTGTGTGCGTGCGTGTGTGTGTGTGTGTGTGTGTGTGTGTTCTTGTTTTTATATCCCGGTGGGGACTTAAACCTGAATGCACACCGCCTCATGGGGACTCATGTCACCGTGGGGACCTAAATTGAGGTCCCCACGGGCAAAGCCTCACTAGCCCCTCCCAAATGGTGTTAGAACACACCCCATGCATTTTCTCCAATGTCCTCTTGGGGATCATTTTCAAGAGAATATTCTGTGTGACTGTGTATCTATGCGCCCCTGGGGGTCACACAGAATATTGCAGTCCCCACCACGTCATTGTTCTGGAAAAGTGTGTCACTTTGTCTCCACTCTATAGCGCCCCCTTTCTTGTCTTCAATTATTACATTAACTGTTGATGGACCAGCATAAAAACTATTTAATACATTACATTACAAGGCATCAACTGATTAGAATATATTAGATATGTTAAAAAATTATGCTCTTTATGCAATTTATTGTAGATCTAACAACAGATTCCAAATATCCATTATGTGTTCAGGATATAAATATCCATTATTGATAAATAAATCAAAAGGAGCATAGCCAGTATTTCACTCTTGCATTAATACATTACCAGTTAAGGTTAAAATATTTTAGTGTGGTTTATTGTAATACTCAGTTCATATGCAATGGTATTACTGTATGCATCTATATTTAAAAAACTAAAGTTTGGCTTTGCCTAGATTAGCCTACATTTTATTAAAATAAACACAGGGTTTATTTCTTCCTTCAGACTTTAATGAGAAAATCACTATTGATTGTAAATGAGAACACAGAGAACAGACTTGTGTCCTTATGGAGACCTATAGCCAGGTTAGCTTGGAAGAATGAATGATGCGAGAACACAGAACATAAACAGAATATACCTGGCCCGGCTGAACCATGTTACTAATAAACATGGGTCAAAAAATTAAGTTTTGACCTACTGTTAGGTTGAATTGGTCGGCTACAGTAGGCTACATCTGTCTTTGTGAAGTTTAAGCATGTGAACAATGTGAAATAAATAGATCTGAATAAAGTTTAAAAACCTGTTCCAGCATCAAGACAGGGCTGCTATAGGGAATGAGCAAGTATAGGGGCAATGGCTGATTCAAGCATGCTATAGTGTCTGCGTTACACAAGGAGCAGCAAAAAGGCCAAAGTGCAGGACCGGTCATCACAGTACACAAGTTTTAGCTTAGTCCTTTTAGCAGAGCTGTTAATGGATATAGCATCTGCTTCAAGAGGGCCAGTACTTCTTACATCAGGTGCCTGGACATGATGGGCTTCTGCCATAAACAGAGCAGCACATTGACTTCCGTGATTCCAAATGTTAAATGTCTACAGGGACCAAATCGTTATGGTTTTTTGCCCTCACAAGGGTTACATAAATCCTGGAAATAATGAACAATGTCTCTTTATCACAATAGTCTATGGGAATTTACATGTACAGTAGATTTACATACATAAAACATTTTATTTCTAAGTTAAGGATTTCTGTATATTCTTTCAAGAATTATGGGAGTATTAAATTATGGAAGACACTTTTATGCCATCCTAAAGGTGGATCTAGCTTAAGAGAAGGCAGTAGCAACAGAAGTGCTGACATGGTTTCAGACCTTGTCTAGAACATTACAACTAAGTGTGAAAAGAGAGATAGTTTGCTTTTATTTTAAGGATGCCGTTAATGAGCTTCAAAATTAATACAGACTGTTTTTCAGGACATCAAGGAGAACAACAGCTCTGAATCACTTTCTGTTCTGTTTTACACCTTTCATTTCAATCACTTCTAAGTATCTAAGTAAACGGTGCATTTAAATAACACATTAATAACAGTAAACAACTTCAGTTACTTCTGGTGTTGTGTTGAAATAATTTGAAACTAGCAGGAAGAATCAGGTTCATGGATCTACAGTATGAGGCCATCTTTAGATGTCAGCTCTCTCCCTCCACACAGTAAAGTGTAGATAGGATACAAGGCCGGCCGGAACTGCAAATACACATCAATACAGAAGCATTTTTTATGACACTGTATAACAATAATTTATATTTTTACAGTACTGTGACGGTTAGGGTGGTTGTAGACATTAATGAAATACTATTTATTGGGTAATTTAATAGATAATATAAATCATATTCGTTAACTTCCGGCCACAAACATATCTGATCCAGCAACAACCCCTCCACACTCTTGCTTCACTCGCTCTGCTGCTAGACTCTCTTTAAGAGCAGTGTAGGTGCTGTGAGGCTCTCTGGAGCTACCATCATGTAAGCTATTATACCTGCTCAGGAATATTCCCACAAACCATTTCATTTTGCCACACTTTCTATTAGATAGGCCTGTGATGTGCTGGTATCAGTAGTTGAAGATGAACAAACCATTTTAAGGGCCTTGCATTTATTTAGGCCTGTTTGCCTTAAAGAATACCATAAAGATGTAGTTAGATGGTATTACATGCTCATATTAAATTGACTGGACATATTAAAGAGTTTTGATAATGATGTTCAGATAAGTTGTAATAAAAAGTAGTTTATTCCCTTTTAATAATAAAGTAATGGATGTATGTAGGTGTGCATGGTCAATGCATCACATCTAATACATTTATGTGGTCCAAAATGTTAAATTACCAAATGTTGGTATTATAATAAAACATAATGGACACATAATGGCAGTTTATTCCGCTATGGCGACCCCAATCAGGGACTAAACATGAATGAATGAATGAATGGAAACATAATAAAACACATGTTGTATTATTTACACCCTGACAGCAGGATTGAATGCCTTTATTTATTACAAGTGTTTGTAATAGTTAATGAATTTTTTTTTTGTGAATTCTTTAATAGTTCTAAATGGGATCCATTTATTTATGTGTTGTCAGAATACAGCATTTAATAATAAGGGGGTTCTTTGTATCTTAATTATAACTTTTTTTCGTTAAGCTATTAAAATTCCCTTTAACCATAATGCATTTATTTAGTTAGAGCAAATATGTTCGGGTAATAAGCTGAATAATTTCGAGTAAAAGTTCGACTGACACATTAGAGCTGTCAGTGCTGGATTGCTGCTGAAGGCCATCCGCTGTGTATGCATGCGCCAGACCGCGGTTCAGTCGGCGACCCGCGCTAAAGCAGCGCGGGAGAGTGTGTGACATTACACGTGACCGGAGATTTTGCGTCCCCACCGCGACCATCCCCTCCCCCCCACACACACACACCTGCGACACAGCAGGACAGGGTCAGAGAGGATGCTGTGAGTAAAGGCGCGAAGACGTCAACATGTCTGAAGGACAGGTAAGTTTATGATTTGTACGATCACTTCAATATATTCGAATGTTTATGTTTATGTATTGTTTGCAACTATATTATATCATAAAAATCGCGTTATTTTATGTCTCAAGCGCTTTTGATAATCGGCATAATCTCGAAGCTGCTTTGCAGAAAGTACAGATTAATGTATCAAGCTGACAATAATATTAGTTAGGGTAACTTTAACTGTAACGTTAAAGTTAGATTCTTACGATCGCGTTTTAAGCCAAACGTTGGAATTGCTTAAGAGATTTTGCAATTTAACTGTACATTAAACGTTTACTATATTTGCGTACATTTACGTGTAATCTTCGTTTACTTTTGAAATATTGTTTGAATTCATGTTCTTGCCAGACTGCATATTTTTACCAAGATGTTTTGATAATTTTTGTTATTGTTAACGTTAGCGACCTGCACGTGCAGCAGGCCTCTGGCCAGGCAAAATCTATTTACTTTTATCCACAAAAATAGGAATGTTGTTCTTCAGTAATGCAAGAGACAATTTAAATTAATTCAGTACAATATTTCTAGTTTTATAAGGGAGTTTTCTAGATTTAAAAAATGCTAATTTTCAGTCAAATGTCATAAATATGTCTAGTCTTATTTCACAGTGTTGAATATTTAATTATTGTCAAATTATACTACAGTATTGCAGTTGTAATGACAGTATAAGGTAATGTTAGAGCATGATGTTTGACTGATTATCACACTTGTGCTTGCAGGGCGATAAAAGTGACAGATACTCTGGATGCACAGGTAACGTTAAGATCATGAATTGTCCTGTTAGCTAGTACTCAAAATAATCCTTACATATAAGAATCATACTCCACTTTTTGAGCCAGACTAACCTGAGTTTAACTTTGTTAGAGCACAACCTTTAAAAAAAGAAATATCCAGCATAATCCTGCATTATTTTAATGGTTAACTAAACATAGACATTATTTTTTAAGTGTTCTGTGTGTTGTTGATAAGGCTTTTGCTAAGTCTTCTGGATTTGTTATCCTATAGTGATATTTATTTTAAGGGTTTTAGAACTGTAACTAGTACAAGGAAACAAACAAAAAATGTATTGAAGTTTTACTGAAAGGAATGTTTTACTTTAGTATGAACAGCCATATTGGCATTGTTCATTGTCAACCTGAATAACATTCCTGTCTTCTGTGACAGAATTTGCAGTGGATGAGGTGACAGCTTGTGCTAAAGAAGAG